CCTCTTCTGCCAAAAGCCACAGAAGGATATGTCATTTAAATGCAAAATGTTATAGATAAAGTGCCTTTCCTATGATGGCACATAAAGTTCAGTAATTTGTAGTCATTATCATCAAATGGCAGATGAAATCCTTTTTATTTCCAAACAGTTTCAAGTGTTCTAAAGAAGCCACATATAGCAAGGACCTGGTTCCAGGAAAAGTGTTGCTCCTTGGGCTGTGTGTTGCTACAACAGGTGTTGTTACTGACCTAGATCAATGAGAAGCCCTGATTTGCCCAAAAGTGGCCCTAAGTGACACAGTGTCACTTTACAGCAGCAACTGATTAAATGCTGGCACTACCTACTCACATTGTGATTTTCCCCAAAAGCTGTATCAAATGAACAAAGAAGGTTTTTTTTTTTTTTTTTTTTTTTCCTTTTTTGGCAACTTTGATTAAAGGGTTTTTTTTTTTTTTAAGATAATGAAATAACAGTACAGACTTATAAAATTCACCAAGCATATAGCCCTTCCTTTTTTCTTTCCTTTCTTGTCTCTTCCATTGTTAATACTATAGCAAACCTATTAATGTGTTATAAAGTTACCAGCTATAACCAAGCATCCTTTTATTTGCTTCTTTGTATATCTAGGTTATATTATTGAAATGGATAGATCTCTTACTAATCTGATGGCAAACATGTATGAATCTGACCAATCATATTTCTATTGTTGAAAAAGCCTTTATATGACACCAGGTATTTATCTTTTATCTCAGTGGTGCTTGGATGAATGTTATATACTTGGAACTTTATTACACAAAGAACGGTGCTTACAATGACTCCTGATACATACAATATCCACATAAAAATGTCTGTATTGAAAATTGCTTTTTACTATTACCAATTTTATATATTTTGCAGCATGAAATAAAATAATTCTAAATGTACATAATTTTTGTGTCATTTCTTCCCGACGGATGATAATTTTCTGAATTTGATTCCTAGCTTGCATAAATAGCAGTTGCATTTTTATTCAATGCAACTTAATAAAAGCTGAGACAGAGGACAAGATGAGTAACATTTGTAAATGACTGCTGAAATTCCATAACCTGAGTGCTGACAGAGCTGGTGAAGAAAGGAGAGAGGATTCATTCAGCATCACGATTCCTAGTGCGGCATTACAAGAATGGAGGACCAGCGACCCAATGTGGCAAACCCAATTGTTGCACCCGGGGCCACAGAGGAAATCCCTGATGCTTGAATATTACAAAGGATTTTTGAAAGGCCCTTAATTTTTATAATCTGGATTCAGAATCAACCTCTGAGCACCTGCTGTGGGCTAGATAAATTTATATACCTGTTACTTCAAAATATTTTGTTTTTAGGTTGACATACCTGATATATTGGTTCAGGGGAAAAACTGCAAGCATTGGTAGTTTTGACATGCGGTACCCTGGAGAAGTGAAATGACAGACAGTAACCTTGAGTTGCTGTTGCTGTTTAATCTGACTAGTTATTGATAACACTGATACAGGCTGAGCCAAGACTTTAGAGAAAACATGTTAGACTATAGGGGAGAAATATCACTACTCAAAAGACCCCAACCTCATATATTTTATATTTCATAAACCAGATTCTGCTGGGTTAGTACTTTTGTTTTAATGTACTTTCAACTAGCTTTCCTAAGAATTGAAGATTGGGAGGCCGAGGCACATGGCTCTCTTGAGGCCAGGAGTTCAAGACCAGCCTGGCCAACATGGTGAACCTCCTTCTCTACTAAAGATACAAAAATTAGCTGGGCGTGGGGGCACATGCCTGTAATCCCAGCTACCGGGGAGGCTGAAGCAGGAGAATCACTTGAACCTGGGAGATGGAGGTTGCAGTGAGCCAAGATCATGCCACTGCACTCCAGTCTGGGTGAAAGAGCAAGACTGTTTCACAAAGGAAAAAAAAAAATAATTGTAGATAACAAGTGGCCATACTTTAAGTCTTGTCTCAAAGGAAATGAAGTCATTAATATGGAGGATGGCCCGTCCCCCAACGTTGTTCTCTTAGAAGGCTGAATAGGTTTTCTTTCTGAACAATCCCATCCTCCAGCAATTAGGTACTTCATGGCCAATCATCTTAGTGTCTTATTACATTTTTTATTGATTAAAATTTATCAAAGGCTTCACAGGTGGGCACTTTTATCTGTGTCAACATGTGATCTGTCCTAAAACATCAGATGTACTGTGAAGTTTATTTCCTTTGAAATTCATTTAAATAGTTTATCATTAAATAAAGCAGTGGTTCCAATAGGACATCAAGAGACCAAGCCAACCTGAAATTATGAATGAATGAACAAACGAATGACCTGTGTTCCAGTATTTTTCCAAATTATCAAATGGAACAAAACCTGACTTTAAGCAAAATCATCTAAGCCTGGCTTTCGTCTCCTTGTGCTGTCAGATTTATGATTCTCCTGCACAGTTCGGTTACTCTGCACACAGTGCAGAACAGTCTGAAATCCGGGGAGGAGACAGTCCCATCTCCGGCTTTCCAGACACTGGGGAGTATGGTCCTCATTATGCCTCTTGAACTGTTTTGTTTTCTGACAAACTTTGAACAAGTGGAACAAATATTTTACTCTCTTTTAGCCTTAGCTATTTTACTTCTAGGATATATTATCTTCAAACATGAGAGATGTTGGAGGTAGTATTGAGGAGAGATCTCAATGTTCAGCAACATTAAAATCTAGTGAATTTGCTGTACATAAATTACTTGGCATTTAAATGCTACATCGATTTAAATGGATAATTGTATTATAAACTCACAAATAGCATCTCTTCAATATTTAATTATTAGAAGGTATCTCAATATTTTATAGCTCTTCAGCTGCTAGTCAAACACATCATAAAAACAGATTGGAAGAAGAAATATTTTTGGGATTTGATACACATCTACAGTGACAGCTATAATAATGACAACAGTTAACACAGGGTACTTCTGCACGCTACGCTGGTTATATGACACCTGTTAGCTCAGGTCTACAAACTCTTCTCGTAAAGGGTCCAACAGTAAATGTATTCTCCAGCTTAGTGGGACACACAGTCTGCCTCCCAACTACTCAACTCTACCCTTCCCAGAGCAAAAGTAGCCATAAATGAGTAAGTGTGGGCTGTGTCCTAATAAAACTTAGTTTAAGGTCACTGAAATGTGAATTTCATATAGTTTTCACATTTTTTCCTCTTTTTTTTTTTGAAATGAAGTCTAGCTTTGTTGCCCAGGCTGGAGTGCAATGGCACGATTTCGGCTCACTGGAACCTCTGCCTCCCAGGTTCAAGTGATTCTTCTGCCTCAGCCCTCCCGAGTAGCTGGGATTACAGGTACCCACAATCACGCCCAACTAATTTTTTGTATTTTTAGTAGAGACGGGGTTTTACCGCATTGACCAGGCTGGTCTGATCCGCCCGCCTCAGCCTCCCAAAGTGCTGTGATTACAGGCGTGAGCCACTGCGCCCGGCCTCTTCTCTTCTGTTTTGACAGGGTCTTGCATTGCAATCCAGGCTGGAGTGCAGTGGCGAGATCACGGCTCACTGCAGCTTTTGAACTCCTGGGCTCAAACAGTCCTCTCACCCTAGCCTCTAGAGTCGCTGGGGGCGGGGGCGTGTATCACCATATCCAACTAATTTTTAAATTTTTTGTAAAGACGGGGGTTCTCCGTGTTGCCCAGACTGATCTTGAACTCCTGGCCTCAAGTGATCCTAACGCTTGGACCTCCCAAAGTGCTGGTATTACAGGTGTGAGCCACCACGTCCAACCTGTCACATATTGTTTTAAAAAATATTTTAAAAAATTATTTAAAACTAGAAATAATCATTCCTTGCTCAAGGCTGCTAAAAAAAAAAAAAGATGGCAGTCTTCCCGCCCACTTCCCCTTTCCTCTACCTCCCCTCCCCCCCACACAGAAAAGAATGGATTTGGCTCTAGTGCCATAGTTTGCTGAGCTCTGCATTATCTCATGGGGTTAGTAGGGCTTTTCTAAACGGTCAGATATACTGATTATATTCTCAAGTGAATGGGAAAGAGTTTTCCTGCTAGCCTCGTTTCCCACCCTACTGCCTCCTCACTTTCTGCACCCTGCTACCCGAGGCTGATGAGGTTTCAGCCAGTCGTTTCTGAGGTTAAAAGTAGGCTCTGCACGTCTAGACTGTAGACACACCAACTAAAGAACTGCTACCAATTACAAAGATAGGCAACAATGTTAAGAGTTTGAGCGTTGGAGTGTCCTGATTGGGTTTGGGCGTTTTCATAGATCCAGCTGCCTTGATCAAAGCGGCAAACGGACAGAGCCACAGGTTGTTGCAGTAATCCGCAGATAAAGGAAGGTGATCTGGACTAGGCTGGTAGGATGGGGGACCAAGACAGGCTGCCTTTAGGATGCATATTTAGGATTGGGTGCTTCCTTGAATGAAGATTGATTAGCTGGTTCAAATACCTGTCACACAGGATAAAAGGAATTTTTTTTTTGAAACAAGAGTCTCACTCTCTTGCCCGGGCTAGAGTGCAATGGCGCGATCTCAACCTCCACCTTCCGGGTTCCAGTGATTCTCCTGCCTCAGCCTCCCAAGTAGCTGGGATTACAGGCGTCCACCGCCACGACCGGCTAATTTTTGTATTTTTAGTAGAGACGGGGTTTTACTATGTTGGCCAGGCTGGTCTCGAACCTCTGACCTCGTGATCTGCCAGCCTTATTCTCCCATAGTGCTGGGACTACAGGTGTGAGCCACCGCGCCCAGCCTAAAATTGATTTTAAAAAAAAAAGAAATGGATAAGTTTTTACATCGTTTTTAAAGCGCTACCTAGGTTTGGCCAGGATCATATATCATTTCACTCTTTTACTTATTAATCATTTTAAAAATTGCAAGCTCCTGATTTACTGATTCCCCCATCCCAAAGTGGAGCGCAACATTTTTATTTTTTCAGCATAAAAGTTGGTTTAAAATACCTTTTCTGAAGAAAAAAAGAAAGAAATCCGCATTCACCACAGTCACTGGACAGGAATCTGCGTGGAGACCCGCGTTCCACTTCCAGAGGTCGACCTTCCCTTGCCCGGGTTGCTGCCCCCCCTCAGCGCCCCCTACACCCCCCACACGCTTCCCGCCGGCCTCCCTCCTGCTTCTCCCGCGTTCCCGCCCCTCAGCGCCCCCTATACCCGCCCCACGCTCCCCTCCAGCTTCCCGCCGCCCCTCAGCGCCCCGGCGCGTCCCCTACACCGCCCCCCAACGCTTCCCGCCGGCCTCCCTCCTCCTTCTCCCTCTCCCGCGTTCCCGCCCACATTCTCGCCCTCCCGTGAAGCTCCGCCCCCTCCAGCTCCGCAACCCAACTCCCTCAGTCCTGCTGTCGCTTTCCTCTTTCCCCTCCCCGATGGCGGCCTTCGATTGGCTAAGCTTGCCGGCCGCGCGGCGGGGATGCGGCTAGCCGCATTCTGATTGGCTAGACATAAGCTGGGCCCCTCGTGATTGGCTGATTAGAGGAGCCAGCAAGTGTGGCTGCGCTCCGGGGTGTGTGGATACCGCTTTGTTGCCTGAGGGGGGTGGCGGTGGAAGTTAAGGGAGTCAGGCGCTCTCGCTTCTCGGGACCCGCAGTCGCGGCCGCTGCAGCCACTTAGCCCGTGGGCCCTTAGCGTAGGAGTCGCGCCGACAGCAGCCATGAGCGGCGGCGTGTACGGGGGAGGTGAGTGAGCGCGGCCGGACGACAGCGCACGCTTTCTCGGCGTGTGGGGTTGGTGACCGCCGCTCCCGGCCCTCCCTCTCCTCCCGGCGCTCCCTTCCGGTCTCCCGGTCTCGGACCCCGGCCTCCCCGCCCCGTCTCCGCCCCGCGCTCTGCCCGCCTACCGAGCCCACCCGGCTCGGCGCGCGCCTGGGGCGCCCGGGAGTTGCGTGTGTCTGTGGCTCCTCCGGCCTCGGCCCGGGAGGAGCGGGGTTCTGGGGGGCGCGCTCTGGTCTTTAGGGCGTCTCGGGGCTGGGGGCAGCTCAGTGGCCGCCGGGCCTGGGCTTCGGTGACCGCCCAGGGCGCATCTCCCCCAGTGCCTCCCAGACTCGGCTCTCTCGGGACGTGCGCCCTGAGCTCGGAAGGTCCCGGCGTGTGCGAGCGTGGACCGGGGGCTCCCGCCGTGTCCCGTGGGTGGAAGCGCCTGGGGAAGCCGCGGAGGCTGCTGCCCCGCCCGCCTGCGCCCCGTGCGCGAGCCGCCTCACCTTTGAGGAACTCCTGCCTGTGGGTGCTGCGGGGTCTCGGTGGTGACTCGTGGGCGGGGCTGTTTGAGATGAATTCAGGAGCACGTGTGGTTTAAGGATGCCCGGAAAGTTGGTCCTAGGCGTCTTGTGTTTTCACTTTCCTCGAGGAGGCTTGTGGTGTAGTAGAAAGATTACCAGGTGCTGGGTGTTACAGACCTGGGTTGAAACGTCAGCCTCACTACTAAGCGCTTTGGTCTTCGGCAGTTTACGTAACTTTCCAACTTCAAGCCTCGTTTATGGAATAATTCCTAGCCTATGGGGTGGGCGCGAAGGTTACATGAAATAATGCTACGTTTGCTACTTTAAAGTCTGGTCCGTGGACCCTCAGTGTCAGCATCACCTGCAAGCCTGTCAGATATGCAGAATCTCACGCCTCATTCAAAATCTGATTTAGAGCCTCCATTTTTGCAAGATCTGCAGGTGAATGGAAACATTGACACATAGGATTCATGTTTTGGGTTGTGTTTGATGAGTTAGAGACCCAGAAAACAAATCCAAACTATTGCTATTCCTGTTTCTAATAGTGATGCTGTTTTTATAAAGGATGTCACTTTACAGGTAGGATGCAACAAAAATTTTTCCTTTATGTTTCCGAAGAGAATCACATCACCTAAAATTTGAAGAAGAAAAGCATTACAATCCTCAAAAAAAAAAAAAAAAAAGCCTTTTTAACAGAAAAGAGGTGATTCTTGAGGATTTTTATACACTGGAAATTGCATCCTAGGTTTTAAACATCCAGAACTCTGTGGTTCTGTTAAGCTTCTTGTCTCCCGTTGCCACTCCTGCTTTGGGTTCATGGGTGCTTGATTTTTAAGGAAGCAGAGTACAGGAATTAGATGTCTTTCTCATACTTGAAAAGGTACAGATGTAAAATTCTAAGAATTCAGAGTCTTGAATTAAAATTCCACTAGTTTAATGAACTAATTAGGACAGGAAAATGAGCTGTTATGTTGGATTTTTTTTCTATTTCATAAATTGTTTTTTGAGTCCTTGCTATGTGGCAGGTATAGGCTCTGTCATCAAGAAGCTCAATCATTAGGTAAATTGACACCATGTTTCACTGATTCTTAGTTGTACCTTTTTTTCCAAATTTAAACAGCTGAAGTTGGAATATGTTTTTTTTTTTTTTTTTTTTTTTTTTTGTTAATAGTGACGGGTCTTACTATGTTGCCCAGGCTGGTCTTGAACTCCTGAGCTCAAGCAATTCTCCCACCTTGGTCTCCCAAAGTGTTGGGATTAGAGGTTTGAGCCATTGCTCCCAGCTAGAATATGTCTTAATAGTGCTGGTGTGGCAGACTTTAATTGCCATATATTTTCTTAGTTATGCAGGAAATAATGGTACATCATGTAGTTGATAGCATCTTATATTGCTGATAAATGGTAACTGTAATTCAAGGAGAGATGTTCATTAATAACAATATGTAGAAGGGGACAGGTGTGGTGGCTCACACCTGTAATCCCAACACCTTGGGAGGTGGTGGCGGGTGGATCACTAGAGGCCAGGAGTTCAAGACCAGCCTGGCCAACATGACAAAACCCTGTCTCTACTAAAAATACAAAATTTAGCCGGGCGTAGTGGTGCATGCCTGTAGTCCTAGCTACTGGGGAGGCTGAGGCATGAAAATCGCTTGAGCCTGGGAGGTGGAGGTTGCAGTGAGTGGAGATCATGGCCACTGCACTCTAGCCTGGGTGACAGAGCGAGACTCTATCCTAAAAGAACAAAAACGTGTGTGTGTATGTGTGTGTGTGTGTGTGTGTGTGTGTGTGTGTGTGTGTGTATAAGTGTAAAACAAAGGTAGCACAGAGAATAAAGTTATTGATTCAGTGTGGCGGAGTCAAGGGGCTTTACAATAGAGGTAATGGGGATGATGGAGGAGGAGTGGAAAGGGACAACATATGCAGAAGTTAGCTGAGTGAGAGGAGTATGTGTGTTCAGGAGATGACATGTTACCCAGTATGTTAGTGTATGAAGCAGGAAGTAAGACTGCTACCAGATTATGCTACACCTTGATCATCAACTGGCTAGAATGATTTAAATTTTATCAAATACAGTGATGAGAAACCACTGAATGATTCACCCCCTTATTTTTGTCGAAGGATTTATGTACCAAAATAATGGCAGTTACAATATTGAAAGATCACAGTGCAACAATTGGAAGGGTGGATTTAAGAGGCAAAGAATGGAGGCACAATACCTGTAGGGAATTGTAGTTTCCTGTTGAGATAAGAGCTTGCCTGAAGGCAGTGGCAATGGTGTTAAAGAGGAGGGGTTTTGAGAAATATTTAACAAAATATTTGGCAGAACTTGAAAGATGGAGGTGTTCCCAATGTCTCTCAGGTTTTTGCCAAAGAGGACCGGTGGTCATCAGTGTGTTAGGCAGTGCTGAGATTAGCAGTGCTTCAGATGTGTTGATTTGGAGATACCCGTGAGGCATCAGATGCATTTATGTTGATGTACAGTAAAAAGTTCCAGATATGGATCTAGACTCTGGTTAGAGCCTGAGAGAGAGAGATTTGAGATTGGAATTATCAGTATTTAGGTAGAAGTTAAAGCTATAGGAGTAGAATATATTTCCCAGGAAAGGGTAAATTAGGGAAGGGGCTCTAACATGGGGTTCTTGGCTTTCCCGAAATTTCCATGGTAGAACTATATTTTATCATAATTGGTTTCTTTTATAATCTATTGAAAAGATTCTAAGAAGGGATTCATAAATTTCCTAAGCTGTCTGTATTAGTTTGTAGGGCTGCCGTCATAAAGTGCCACCGTCTTTGTGGCTTAAACAACAGAATTTAATTTTCTCACACTTCTGGAGGCTAGAGGTAGATCTCAGTATCAGCAGAGTTGTTTTTTTCTAGGTCTCTCTCCTCTGTGTGTAGATGGCTGTCTCCTCCATCTTCACATGTCTTCCCTCTGTACATATCCAAGTCCAAATTTTTTCTTAAAAACATCAGTCATACTAGATTAGGACCCAACCTAATGATTTCATTTTAACTTAATTACTTCTTTAAAGACTCCGGTTTCACTGGGCGCACTGGCTCACGCATATATGTTTGTAAATTTTTTTTTGAGACAGTCTCACTCTGTCTCCCAGGCTGGAGTGCAGTGGTACGGCCTTGGCTCACTGCAGCCTCTGCCTCCTGGACTCAAGTGATTCTCCTGCCTCAGCCTCCCAAGTAGCTGGGATTACAGGTGCATGCCAACATGCCCGGATAATTTTTGTCTTTTTAATAGAGACGGGGTTTCAGCCTAACACGTTGGTTAGGCTGGTCTAGAACGCCTGACCTTGTGATCTGCCCACTTTGGCCTCCTGTAGTGCTGGAATTACAGGTGTGGGCTACCGCGCCCGACCCTCACGCCTGTAATCCTAGCACTTTGGGAGGCTGAGGCAGGTGTATCACCTGAGGTCTGGAGTTCGAGACCAGCCTGGCCAATATGGTGAAACCCCATCTCTTCTAAAAATACAAAAATTAGCTGGGTGCGGTGGCACGCACCTGTAGTGCCAGCTGCTTGAGAGGCTGAGGCAGGAGAATTGCTTGAACCTGGGAGGCAGAGGTTGCAGTGATCTGAGATTGCGCCACTGCACTCCAGCCTATGTGACAGAGCAAGACTTCATCTCAAAAAAGAAAGAAAAAAGAGATCATTCTGCAGAGTTACTGTCTCTTAATTGATATTTGTAAAGTAATAATGGGTTTAATTTTATTTTAAAAGTTTTTGAAATAGTTCAAATATACTAAAAATGTATAGATGTAAGTTTTTGATATTACTGTAATCACCTGGAAGTTTGTATGTAATTCAGTACTATACTCACCAATGAGATTAAATAGATGTCATATTTTGCCATATTAATACCTCAGATA